TCCAAGTGTTCAAAAAATACCATTGTTGTTTTTTTAGTACAAAAAATACCATTAATGTTACTATTTGTACACAGAATTCCAACGAAGTACACATATGTTCAACTAAAACATTGTGGTAACCAGGTACTTCAGGTAAATGAGAAAATGACTTAAAAGTGTAACGAAGTTGCAAAATGTTTAAAAAATATCACACTTTTTGTTAACTGTGTTGTTGTCAGATTATATAGAACACAATTACCGGGGATCATGAACCGTCATATCAGTTCACAACAATTGTGCAAATCTCTTTCATTCCTTCACTCGATCGTTCTTGTGGTAACAAGAGAAGTAAGTGGGTAATAACATTAGTTAAACATTCTTGCTTCCCGATTGACTCAAACCTAAAACATATATACGTTATATAGATGCACATATTATACATCAAGGTTAGCCGTTCATTAGTGTTGCGGTACAAGAGAGACACAAAGGAGAAACGAGTGTGACGTTATGTCATGAGAATTCCTAAATATGGATTTAGACACAACTGGTGTGAACTGGTACGACGGTGACTAATCTCCGATGACTATGTTCTATATAATCCGGAAACAACGAAGTTAACAAAAGGTGCTCTGAAAAAACAACAATGATTTTTTTTAACATTTTGGAAATTTCAATGATATTTTTTATACTAAAAAAATAATGGTATTTTTTGAACAAATTTGAAAGTTTGTTACCTTTTTAAGACATTTTTCTGTTACCTGCAGTAACAGGTTACCCACAAGACTTTATTTGAACACATGTATACTTCATTGGTATTTTGTGTATAAAAAATATTTTTTAATGGTATTTTGTATACTTAAAAAAACAATGGTCTTTTTTGTACATTTTTGAAACTTCTTTTTAAGTCATTTTCCCCGTACGATAAACATAAGCATAGCACATGTATCTTTATTTCAAGCTTCCATGCTAGTACTCTATCCTGCTACTATTTCACTTGGTTACATGGATATATGTCATTATAAAAAACGTGAGATACATAGATTTAGACAAAAACATTCGATCTTTTTTTTTTTGGGTACATTTGAAATCATTCTCATTTTTCTACCAATTCATCTGGAATCATTTTCAAATTCATTACAAATCTTTCCCGTAATCATATTTTTTTTCCTTTAATTTTGGAGAATCGATGTATGTGTCCGGTGTCCCCATTCCGGTTCCCACTGGTGGCCTGTCAAAAAGGATGAACGAATCACTCCTTAAGCCTTTTCCTAACAATCGTAGCTTGCATTTTTTGTCTACATCTTAGAAAACTTTATAAAATTTTGCCTAATTTGTCGACTAAAGTAACAACTAACAAACGTTACTATGGCTCCAACTTGTCGTTAAATCAGTCACGATCCCATTTTCTCAATTTCTTAGAATTTATAAATTGGACCCTTTTACTTTAAGGGAATTACATTCACCTCTCCATCCGTTTAAGTTTCAAAGGTTTACATTTGGGGTCCCTCATATTTTTGATCCTTTTCTTTGGTATCAAACTAGCCTCTGGTCAACACTTTTTTACACTGGTAATTCCTTTAATTTTTTTTAAACTTATTTTAAGTTCTTTTTTTTTTTTTTTTTAAATTTTTAATTTTTTTTCTCGCTCCAATGATTTTTGAAAAAATACCCAAACTGGCACCACTTAAAGAACCTTTTTTAGTCGTTCACTGATTTGTGTGCTCTCTAGTACTTTGAATACATGGCAATTGTGGTTGTCCAATGCTGCCTTGGTGATACTTGACGGGACAAGACAAATCTAGACTCGATAAAACTTATGAACTTGACATTTTTTTTCAAAGTTATTTTTAATGTTGATAATGAAAATGTTATTCAGACATTTTTTGCATTGAAGGGAGATCAAGAGCGGATCCTAATACTACTTTTTGGATGGAATAAAACATTATAATTTGTCTCATTAACATTAGTCACACCGCACATTATACATTATACAAAGAATGCATATTATGTCTTCTCATATTTTGTCTTACATAACCTAAAGGAGCAAAATACATTATTCTAAACTTTAATGGAATTATCACCATGGAAGGGCAAAGAGTGAAGGGAAAAGGGGGAAGGGGCGGTGTTCATCACAACTCACTCCAAGTCAAGTCAGCTCATCACATGATACGGTCCTAAATAAGACTTTACATACTTTTTCAACTCATTTAATTTGATAAATGAACATTACAAACACTCATTCAATAACAAAAGTAAAGTTGCCTTTAATGGAAACAATTCACATATCCACAACTACAAACAACATTCCTAGCAACATAAAAAGAAAAAAAAAAGAACACAATTTTAATTCCCCCTCATTTCGGGATCCAATGAAACCGCATCTTTAAGTGTTTCACGTGCATCATTGTCCATTCCTAGGCTAAACAAAGCAGCCGCTTGCAGATAAAGCGCAATCGACCAATCAGGCGATATCACTTGTGCTTGCATCGCATCTCCCAACGCTTCTTGTCCCTTATTATTCATCATATAACACAAACACCTTCTCACATACATAGTTGGTGACACCATGGTCCCACTCTCGATGAACTGCACCTCCAAAGATTTAAACATTATTACACATTCTCTAAGTCTTGACAATCTGTCTCAATAGCAGATTGTATAATCTGCTATTGAGACAGATTGTGTCTGACAACCAAACAGATGTTGGTTAGTATAAAAGTAAAGAAAGAAAAAGACGAGTTGTGTGTTGTCAGATTGTAAATATGTTTGTCAGAATACATATGGAACACAGTACAACATGTTCTGCTAACAAATGGGCCCGGACTTACGCTTGTGTAAGATTCGATTGCAGTGTTGAAGTCCTTAGCTCGAAAAGCATTGTCCCCACGCTTCTTACCATTTAACGTATCTTGAAGTTGACTTGTCCACATTTGGAAGGAAAGCTGAAAAAGCCAAACAATGTTTGGATTCAAGACACATTTAGGGGGGTATAATCGTAAATTTCATCAAAATGTGTTTTTCAAGAGATTACCTCATCTGTAACCCCTTCATCTCCACTATATCCAATCTTTTCAAGTATCTCGTGTATGGCAGTTAAATCTAGTCTCGAGCAAGCGTCGCCAAGTGGCGACAGGTTTGATATTTGTGTTGCTTCGTCATTAATTCCCATCAAGACAAGCGAAGAAATCTGTTAAGGTGTCGCTAAATTTTGTCACTAAATGTTTCAAGGGTCATTTCTTAAAGGAAAAAACAAAATTGTGATTTTTTTTAGAAAGTATGCAACAAATGCACTTACATCTGTTTGTTTCTGAAGAGGAGCAAGAGCAGCCACAACCGATTTGGCATTGGGCCTCTCTCGAGGTTCATACTGCAAACATCGTGATGCTATCCTTACCAATTCAGTTCCATCATCATTAGTAAAATGACCCTCTAGACATGAATCTGTTAGCATCTGAAAATTCTTCCCTTTTATCAAATCAAGTGCCTGAAATGATTATGTAAGGGATTAAGTAATGAATGATTAGAGTAGATCTGGAAATAAATGAGCACTCAGAGCTTACGTGGCTTGGAGGAATGTGTTTTCCACTCAAAAGATCAAGCAGAATGGTGCCAAAACTGTAAATTACACTTTCTGCTATGACTCTACCTGCAATAGAAAAAGAAAAAAAAAATCACTTTACATATAAAATGTCACGAAATTGTTTTTCACTTTTAGCGACAGTTTTTTTTTTTTTTTTTTTTTGACTTTTTACTTTTTTCATACCAGTTCTCATGTATTCTGGTGGGGTAAAAGCTAAGTTTGTACTGTAACTTTTTCCATCTCGGCTGTTCTTCATTAGGCCAAAGCATGAAAGCCTGGGATTGCAAT